TAATAATAATAATAATAATAATAATAATAATAATAATAATAATAATAATAATAATAATACAATTTTTAATCTCAAACGATCATAAGTTCGATCATAATTGGGAAAGATTATATTGTAACCACCTAATAATAATAATAATAATAATAAAATTTGTAATCTCAACCGATCATAATTGAGAAAGATCATATGGTAACTAATAGTAATAATAATAATAAAATTTTTAATCTCATAAGCTCGATCATAATTGGGAAAGATTATATTGTAACCACCTAATAATAATAATAATAATAATAATAAAATTTGTAATTTCAACCGATCATAAACTCGATCATAATTGGGAAAGATCATATAGTAACTAATAATAATAATAATAATAATAAAATTTTTAACCTCAACCGATCATAAGCTCGATCATAATTGGGAAAGATCATAGAGAGAAATATAAGGATAAGGATTGTTATTCCATTTCTTCCAAGCTCGAGCTCGAGCGTGCGACGAAAGCTCGGTTTCTCGTTATACGAAAGAATCGAGGAGGCGCGTTGTCCAGGGTTTTATAGCGGAGAGTCGGACGACCACCGCAAACGCACGCGGCACGAGTGAAAGAGAGAGAGAGAGAGAGAGAGGAAACGAAACCAAAGATTAATGCACTACACTTACTGGGGCAATTTGCGCCAAGTGTCGGCCCTACGACCTGCCTGCCCCTCCTCCTCCCCCGCCTAGATTTGTTCCGGCCTTCTCCTCCTCTCTCTCTCTCTCAACACACCCCGGAACCGGAATCCAGATCCATCCGGATAGATCCACCCCTCTCGAGGGAGCTTCTTCGATCTTCTCGATCGTCGAATATAGCTTCTCAAGAATATATCCTACTTCGAAATAGGAAAGAGAATAGGGAAGAAATTTCTAATTTAACCCTCTGTCGCGCGAATTTTTTGATTCGAAAGAAAATATATATATATATATATAATCTCTTAAGAATGAGTGTATTCGAGAGATAAATAAATAAATAAATAAATAAATAAATAAATAAATAAATAAATAATTCTTATTACTTGAAAAGCATTGAAAAGAGAGTATGCAACGGAGGGGATGAATGCACTCGGAAGTTCGAATCGGAACAACGTCACTAACCTTCCTCTAAATTTTTCGTGAAAAGAGGGTGGAAGAGGAGGAGGAGGAGAGGGGAAGGAGGGAGGCAGTTCTTGCGATTAGCGGGCGACTCTGCTAGGGGAAGGCTGAGGGAAGGTCTGAGGTTTTAATTAAGCATTCACTGCGGATGATATCGCATGCCTCTTTATACTTCATAGCGGCCAGATGTTGCCTGGCAGGGACCTTCCTTAAGGCCCTACACCCGTAGAGAGAAGGAAGGAAGGAAGGAGCGGCGGTATTTCGCTTTTAATTATGCATGTTTAATTTGCTTGTATCCTTCCACTGGCGGTGGATACTCGAGCACACATCCCCCCCTTTCCCCCTTCTCCCTTGTGGAACACCCTACTAATCTAATCTCTGGAGGCTGGAGGGAATTTTCGAGAATTTTTCGAGAATTTTTCGAGAAATTATTTTTCGAAAAAACGTCCAAGGATCGGATTGGATCGATCGTGTATTATTGTATGAATATGTAGAGATAAAGGGAGTTTAAAGAGGAATGATGATTTCGAAAAATGTCGAAGAAAGGAAAGGGGAAAAAATCTAAAACATCTTATTAGTTTCTGGAGGGAGGAATTTCGAGAATTTTTCGAAAATTATTTTTCCAAAGAAAGAAAAGGGAAAAAAATTTTTTCCGATACGCGAGTACGCATTCCCCCTTCCTTCTTGTGGAACACTCTATTAATCTAATTCTAATCTAATAAGAGGAAATTTTCGAGAATTTTTCGAGAAATTATGTTTCGAAACGTCCAAGGATCGGATTGGATCGATCGTGTATTATTGTATGAATATATAGAGATAAAGGGAGTTTAAAGAGGAATGATGATTTCGAAAAATGTCGAAGAAAGGAAAGGGGAAAAAATCTAGAACATCCTATTAATTTCTGAAGGCTGGAGGAAATTTCGAGAATTTTTCGAGAAATTATTTTGCCAAAGATCGGATTATCGATCGTGTATCATTGAATGTATAAATAAAGGGAGTTATCAGGAGGAATAATGATTTCAAAAAGAAAGGAAAGGGGAAAAAATTTTTTCCGATACGCAAGTACACATCCTCCTTTATAGAATACTCTAATCTAATCTCTGAAATTTTTTGAGAAATTTATTTTTCGAAACGTTCAAGGATCGGATTATCGATTATCGTGTATTATTGTATGAATGTATAAAGAAAAATTATTTTATTATATTATTAATATAATAATTAATTATTTTATTATATAAAGGGAGTTACTTTAAAGAGGAATGATGATTTCGAAAAATGTTTCGAGAATTTTTCGAAAATTATTTTTCCAAAGAAAGAAAAGGGAAAAAATTTTTTTTCGATACGCGAACACATATCTTCTCTTCTCCTCTTTGTAGAACATTCTACTAATCTAATTCTAATCTAATAAGAGGGAATTTTCGAGAATTTTTCGAGAAATTATTTTTCGAAACGTTCAAGAATCGGATTGGATCGATCGTGTATCGTTGAATATATAAAAATAAAGGGAGTTATAAAGAGGAATGATGATTTCAGGGACGAATTCAAAAAGAAAAGAAAAGGGAAAATTTTTTTTCCGATACGCGAGCTTGTTGAGGAACACCCTATTAATCTAATCTCTGAAGGAGGGAAATTTCGAGAATTTTTCGAGAAATTATTTTTCGAAACATCCAAGGATTGAATATATATAGAGTATAGAGTTAAAGGGAGTTACTTTAAAGAGAAATGATGATTTCGAAAAATGTCGAAGAAAGAAAAGGGAAAAAAATTTTTTCTGATACTCGAGTACGTATCCCTCCTTCCCCCTTATAGAACATCCTACTAATTTCTGGAGGGAAATTTCGAGAATTTTTCGAGAATTTTTCGAGAAATTATTTTTCGAAACGTCTAAGGATCTGATTATCGATCATGTATTATTATATGAATGTATAAAGATAAAAGGAGTTACTCTAAAGAGGAATGATGATTTCGAAAAATGTCGAAGAAAGGAAAGAGGAAAAAATTTAAAACATCCTATTAATTTCTGGAAGCTGGAGGGAATTTCGAGAATTTTTCGAGAAATTATTTTTCCAAAGATTATCGATCGTGTATCGTTGAATATATTAGAGATAAAGAGGAATCGAAAAGAAAGTAAAGTAAAGGGGGGAATTTTCCAACGAAGATTATGATTACACGAGAAACGACAGAGAGAGACCAGCTCTTGGAAATTCCTAAAAGAGCTTGGACGTTTCCAACGGAAGGGGGTGGAGAGAAGGACGATTTTATTTGGAGCCTTTAACGAGTTCGCTTTTGCCTCGAAAACGGGGAGAGAAAGAAGGGGTGGGGAGAGGGGGGAAGGAAAAAGTTGGAAGGGTATCGTGTTTCCAAGGGCGAAAACTTGCCCCGAAGGGAAGAACTCGTGATCCGGTGATTGACAGATCGTGCTAAAATGGCGACGAAAGATGGTTTATTTTTAATGGCGGATGCGAAAGAATACTTTTTTTTTCCTCTTCCGTCAGAACTGGAATCGTATACGCTCCCCTTATACAATCTCGTACTTGGACTTCTATAATTCGATATTTCTGAAAAATTTTATCAATCTATATCTACTTTTTAAAATTCCAAAAAACCACACTCAATCTTTTGAAAAAAAAAAAAAAAAAGATTCTCCAGAATATCGTCGAATCGGATAAAATTCTCTTTCTCTCTCTCTCTGCCATTCGATAACTTATATATATATATATTATATCTTGACGAGAGGGGCGACGGTGTCAATATATATGCAAACGTCGACATAACGATCTATCGGTACGTAAATACATAAGAGGGTGCGAGGAGAAAAAGAGAAGGGGGAGGATGCAGTCTCGACGAGACTCGAGAGAGGGAGGGAGAGAGAGAGAAAAGTCGAAGCTTAATATAAAACTTCATTTCGCAATCGGTGGCAGACGGAGGAAGAAGAGGAGAAAAGAGAGAGAGAGAGAGAGAGAATTGACAGACGGAAAATTCCAGTACCGGTAAAAAGGGGTTCCTCGGCTGGAATCTCCCATTTTTCTAGTATTAAGCTTGCCCGTGAGATAAGATAAGAGCGCTCTGAACTCGCTCTTCGATATATATATATATATATATTCGAGAACGCGGCTCGATAGTGCAAAAAGAGGAAATTTCAACTCCTCGAAGGGAAAAGGGTGAAAGAAAACGGTGTCCAAGAAAAATTCCCTGTATTCTTTATTCCGAGATTCGAAGATTGCTAATAGATCACTAACCGATCGCTAATAAGTCAACCGAATTGAAAATTTTAAGTCAAAGTTATAATCCTTCTCCTGTACAAATCCGAAGGAATTAGCTCTGCGAAGAATTGGACTTGAGTCTTCTCGAAACAAAGGGTAAGAGGATCATAGAATTAAGGGATAAGCCGTAAAGATAATCCGTTAAAGTAGAACTCTATATATATATATATTATAGCAATTTTGTAGACTGTAAAGACGCGATAAAATATGAATATGTATATATATAAAAAAAGGAATGAATTAAGATTCATTGTAAATAAATAACCTGAATATCGAGTCATAAAATAAATTTAAGAGATCGAGGATTTCGAATCGATTCCTCGATTTACAAAGAAAGACCCCCTTGGAAGAAACTTTTCGTTCGTATATACATTTCGAGCATCCTTCCTATATATATATATATATATACTATATTCTTTCGCGGCGCGGGAAGAAAGAAGGGGGGGCGAGGGGGGACGGGGGTCGAAGCAGCACGGTGGCGCGCGATGAAACTTTTAATAAATGGCGGAGTCGATATGAAGTATAGGACTTTGACATATCGTGTGTCTGTAATGTATAGTTAAATCTGGCGGCAGATGTGGCGACTGCTCGCCTACCCCTCTCTCTCTCTCTCTCTCTCCTCGCCCCCTATTCCGACTCTCACCCTTTCCCGTCCCCCTCTCTCTCGCTCCCGCTTCATTGAAAATTTCCCATTCTAATAGCTCCAAGTAGCGGATGTCTGGGAATTGTCCACTCGGAAGTTTGGCAGTTTATAGTTACACGTAAAGGACAGGCTTAAAAGGATGGATTGATAAAAAAGAATAAGGAAAATTCCCCCCTCCTTCCCCATAAACTTTTGGACGAGCAGCGATATTTCGGGCTGCGACCGGAAAAAATCATCCTCATCTATCATTTTTCTTTTCTTTCTTTCTTTTCTTTTTTATATTACCACATACACAAACGTAGAGAGCAAAAGCTATACACGATTTTGCACGTGAGAGAAAATTCCATTCAAAAACGTTACCTCATTTACTTACTCACTTACTTACTGTCGCGTATACATACCTACTAGCCGGGAGTATTATATCAATTTTTTTGCTGCACCGCAGCAAAAGTTTTCGATCAAACGGCTGTCCGAACGGGAGCTTCTCCACAAAGCGGTTCGTAGGGGGGTAATCTGTCATCGAAACTGTCCCATCCCTGAATCGTCCCCCCTCTCCTCTCTCTCTCTCCCCATTACATAATAATTTATAACAATATTCCTCCAAATATCATTCCTCGCCGAATCTTCCACAAATGATATATCCACCGAGAAACGAAAATCCTTCCCAACTAGAAGAGAAGAGAGGTCCACAACACCGCGTGGCCGAGCA